ATTCCCCTAAACATTCAATAACTTTTCATTAAATTTACCTGAGCAGAAGCGCTCGTATCCACGCTTCAAATCGCTGTAAATCCAGTCCCTCAGAGGATGCAACTCGTCCAATAAGGGGTCGTAATCGTGCTTAGCATGGTAAAGCCTGCAAACGTCTACATCTTGTGGTGAGCAAACCCTATTGACAATGTACCGAAGGACAAGGTCTTCAAGGTCGGCAATTGGGCGCCCTCTTTGCGTATGAGTATTCAGCTGATATAAAAAATGGCTTCTTTGACCATAGCGTATCATTGTATCCATGTGAAGTTCCAGGAATAGTCTCTGAAGAGCCCACATAGATAATAAATAGCATAACAATAATCAAACAGAATCAAGAATAACATATCAATCTACGTACATTAAGCCAATACGGGCCAGCTTCGTCACAGCGCGCTTTTCCCAAAGTAACCATCATGGTATTCCAAGTAATCATGAACCATTTACTGCCGTCAGAGAGGTCAACGAAATCCAAAAGGCGCTACAACAGGAGGTAATGAGACGCGAAATTTACTAGAGCCTTCGTGTTACCCGTGTAGTGCTATGGATGAGAACTTCATGACCAGGAGCAGGAAGATGGCGAGCATAATGCGGAAGACGTTCTCCTCGATAAAGCCATCGCCCAGATTCGGGATGAATAAACCTCTGCTCTCTAAACATAGTATATTACACGAATGGAAGAAAGGCAAGCAAAGCAGAACAATCACTCGACGGGATCATCCAGAGATTGTCCTGCAGATTTCAGTGAATCGCAAAATATGGTGAGGTCCATACGTGCCTTGGTCCTTAACTCAATCGCTTGATCGCTGAAAAAAAAGAAAATTTAGAAGCGGTAGTGTAAGGAAAAGATTAAATTACCGAGTCCAAGTGTATGTGGGATCTCTTGCTCTTATAAAACTACGTTTACCATAAGAAAGCATTTCATGCACATCATCGAAATCCGGGTTTAGAAAAACATCAATATGAAGCCGATGCCAACGTTCATCCTGCTGTGGATCCTCAAAAACTACTTTTCTATTCACCAAAAGACATCTGATTCACTTTCAAACAAAAAAAAAAACGATTATGGAACGTACTATGCGGAAGTTGAGCTGAAAAGTGAGGCGTGGATAGGAGAGGTGATAATGTAGTAGCA